TCTTTAATGATATGCTACTGAACTTCGCCGAGCCCGGCTAGCTTTTTATCTTGATTACTCTAATCAATAAGAAATGATAGAGTAGAATTATAAACTCTATTGGCTTTTTAAATGTTGCCGACAAGCCCTCTAGATAGAGACGCTTTCTTTTCATTGTTATTTATTAACGCGATCTTCAGCTAACTCGGGATGCAAATAGGAAAATGAACAAGGGGGAAATTATTACATGGGAGAGGGAGGCCTCGTTGCCTCCTCCCCTTTCCTCTGCCTACCTGGTTTATTGATGCCAAGCTGAGTGGGAGTGAGGCAGGAAAACGGGGAGGGCAGGATAGGTGGGAGCAACAGATTGGGACCCCACCTTTCCCCTCTACTCCCTGCCCCATCTCTCCAGATAATTGTCTTTGGCTGCTTCCCAGATGCTAAACATAAGACCGGTTTCTAACAAACAACTTCATCTTACCACAGTTGTGCTGTTATGTCACAGAATCTTGCTAGGGTACGTCAAAACATGCAAAAATATCAACAAAAGCCAAACCCAGTGAACTGATTACCTCCCAAAGAGCAGATTGGCTGGATTTAACTCAATTCATCTCTAGGAGAAGCTAATAGAGGCTATTTGCTTCCTCAACATCGGTCATCCTTGACACAAATTCTGGAAGTTTGCCTCCAGAAGGTCAACATCACTGCTTTTTCCAAAGACTGACTTGATCATCATTATGACCCAAAATCTCCAAATTTCTAGTCTGTAGCAGCACCTGAAACAACAGATACATTCCTTTATTAGCCATATGTCGAAACCAAGCCTTGGCTAAAACTTGAGAGGGGGAAGTCACTGGCATGTGTGCCGCTAATTAAAACTGCTATTTGTTAAATAATACAGAAAAGACCCCTGCTTTATTTATGTCAAAGCACAGTTCTCTGATATCCTTTAGACATCTGGGAAAAAACAGAGGAGGCGGAGTGGAAAAGTGTATATGATTTCTGGCACAGAATCAACTAAAAGTTATGGTATTGTAAAAAAAAAAAAACCTCGTGAAAACTAAAATACACCGTTCCCCACCCACTTCAAATTACAGTACAACAAGACAAAATCTACATTAAATGCAGATTTTCTTATGTCAATCAGTCCCCACATTTTGTGTTTTGGCTGAGTATTCTAACAGCGAAGCAAGCAAACATATGCAGAAGAGACAAATATATTTTAAGTGCTATAATTAATATAAAACACAAGGATCTTTATACCAAAAGGTCTGAAATCAAACTCCTATGTTCATTTGCCAGGGAAGGGGGTATAATTGAAGTTAATATGATTGACTCCCAAAGAAACATGTAAGATCATGCTGAAGAAGTTCTGTTGCGGTGCATTCCTGGTTTGGTAAGAACTTTTCATGACAGCAAGCTATAAAACTTATCAGATTTTGCTGCAAGAAACTAACTCGCATCGTTGCAACTCTTTAGCAATTTCGGTAGCATTGCAGCTTGCTCATCCTGACTGCTTAACAATAGGCAGAAAGTTGTGCGGCTGAGCACGGCCCTCTTGAATGTGGGGGAGGAGGGATACGAAAGGCTTAATGTAGCCAAATCATGTAGAACTCTCTCCTCCTAGCAACATCCTCGTTATTAGGAATCATGACTAAACTGCCAGAATTATTCTGGACTGGAAGTTATCAAGAGCCCACTAATTTCGCATTAAAACCCATTGACTGCAACGGCGTGATTGAAGGGTTTTTAACAATTAACATAATCAGAAAATGAGCGGAGATAATTTTTATTCAACTCATTACTTTTTAATCATGTATTTCTTTTAATTAATGTCGTCTCTGTGAAAATAATATATTTAAAAAAAAAATCTCCACTGCTGGTCCTGGGAGAAAGGATGAAATTAAGAACAAAGGCCTCAGCCAATTCTAAATAGGAGTTGGTCAAAACAAGGGGCTGGATAGTGACCGACCTTGTCACCAAAGTCACATTGGTAGAGCTTACAAATCTAAGCGGGTTAAGCCTTAACTAAGTCCTACTGCGGTCAGTGAGCCTTACCCATTGTATTTTGGAAATGTATTTAAGACGACAGCTTTAAAAGCAAACCATCTTTCCCAAAAACCATAGATGAGATGCCAAAACGTTCCTGTGTAATTAGCTAAATCTCAGAAAAAGAATGAGGTGACATTTAATGAAAAGATTCTTTGTTAAAAAGATCCTGGAATTTATATGTTTTTATTTAGAAAGAAGGAGAGTTGGATCAAACAACTTACTAACAATCTGGCCTCCTTGCTAAAAAGTGCACTCCTATACATGGGGACTCAGATGTCTTATGGCATTCAGTGCAGTCCAGTTGGTACAAGATTATACTCAAGTGCGTAAGAAATGTTCAAAGTCGTCACTTTCCTTGGTGCTGGCAAATATGGTCTTCAGTTAAACAATTTTTGAGATTACTTAAAGTGTGTTTTAGGGTGTTCTCACTTTTTAGAGAACAAAGCAAGCAAGTGGAATTCCTGTTTTGTCCTTGTAGAAAATTGTTGAAGCTTTTTTTCAATCATGAAGGCTCTTTTGGAATTCTCCCTCCAAAGGGACAATTCTGAACAATAAAAATCCTTCCATGTTAATTCCAACAGCAATCCAATTAGATCAAAATTTTATCACCATCTTGCAAGTTACTACCAAGCAGCATTTTTCATGTATAATTTTCCATTCATTAACCAATTAATTCAATCAAATGCTCCTCTTTTTTGTTTTTCATCATATAAAGTCCAAATTAGGAAAACCTTTCTGTAAAACACACCTTCAGAAGTTTTTCGTAGTTTGGGACCATCCAGATAGAAAGAACGAAAGAAAGAAAGAAAGAAAGAAAGAAAGAAAGAAAGAAAGAAAGAAAGAAAGAAAGAAAGAAAGATCTAACCCAACTACTCTGCCTCAGCCAACCACAAACACAAACCTTGGGGCTTCAAAAATGTAAAAGAATGCTGTTCCTGATGTTATAAATGTTGTTTTCTAATAATTAAGATTTGAACTTTGTGTAATTCATAAAATCGAATACCAAATAATTTCCTCTAATTGGAGCTTTTTTGGGGTGTGTGTGAGAATAAGGCAGACTATGTGGGTAACACATACAGAGTGAGTTTATCTAATGTATTAAAGCCCTTATGCCACTGTGGTACAAAAGAGAAAGTCGACCTCTGGTGGAAAAAAATGGAAATGGATAATCTTATCTCAATTAAGGGCATATATTCCTTGGATAGTTTTCATGTTTGGAAGAAAGAAAAAAAAAAGACACAGATAACAAAAGCAACCTATTGTTTTCTGGAGATGATTCACAAAAGGAAAAAATAAAATGAAGGCCTTTCTGGGAATTAAATGGGCATTACTTGTGAATAGATACAGGATTGCCTTGTAATAAATCAAAATGGACTATTCTCTTCCTGGATAAGACCTAGTTTTTTTAAAAAAGAATTTTATGAGTAATTTGATTACATATATTATGCTAAACTGTAATTATGCTGCAAATTATGAATAAAGCCAGTATATAGACTAATGCCAAATCTTATAAATATTAATCTTTTGGGAAGTTAGGGTAAAGACTTCTAACGAAAAGTCTCAGGATTATCACCTAAAAATAATTCTCCCAGCAATAATATTGGAGTGTGTATGTATATGTGTTGAGAGGGAGGAGAGGAAATTGTCATAAAATTGAAATACACTCTCAGCAGTCATTTGTAAATCTAATTATTTACTGTTTTATAGTTAACAGTTGAATTTCTGTGAGCTCTATGGAGTGGGCAGGATTACAGGCTCTACTCTACAGCTGAATGCTAACGTAATAAATGACCTAATCAGGGAATAGTCCTCATGTTCAGAAGGATGTTACCTGAGTTTTGAAGAGAGTCTCAGTCTCACCAAAATACTAGTAAACAGGAGGGTGTTCTTCTGTATGCAATGTGTCATTAGGGGCTCAAAGTGCCTTTATATGTAGTCTCTATTACCTATTCTTAAATGGACATGGTCTGGTTATATTGATATCCTGGTAACTTCTCAGTTGGATTCTTGCAAAGAATTGGACAAGAGAATGTATTTGAAAATGATCCCAAAAGTACAGGTAGTATAAAAGTTAAATGTTGTCAGATTCACATCTCAACATTCTTTTTTGTTTGTTTCCCATCTTTGATATGGAATCTAAGAACCCGAAGAAACACTGAAGTACTGTACATAGAGAAGAGGACAAGGATTTTCTTATTGGAGGAATTTAAAAAAAAAAAACCTACCAAAATAATGGATTCATGAAAAGTGTCTGTCTACTTTGGAGTTCCCAGCCTTGGATGCCCAGAGTCTTCTCCCTTAAACCCCCCCAACAGGAATATTAAATGGTAAGGATTTTGTTTTTTCCTTTCCCAAGGCCCAGAGAACCTAGAACAAAAGATTCTGAAATATCTTAAGAATGCAGGCAATAATTTAACTATGCATCCCTTCTTTGTGTGTGTGCCTTTGAATCAGTTTTTCACTTTTGGCAACTACCTGGGCAAGTCCCCTGCTGTTTCCTTGACTAGGTTTTTGGAAGCAGTTTGCCATTGCCTCCTTCCTAGGGCTGAGAAAGGGTGACTGGCCCACACCATCCAGCTGGCTTTGTGCTTAAGATGCGAGTAGAATTCAGAGTCTTCCATTTCTAGCCTGATGCTTTAAAACTACCAGATCAAATTGTCTCTCTGGGCAACCTTAATAAAGAATAAAGATTTGATTAGTGAGAGTTACTCTAAGTTAATCAATTGAAAGTCAAGTTTGAATAAATTTACAAGGCTAAAATGTTTTTTGCTCAGTGCATTAGAAGCATGGTACTTTTGTTATAAGAAGTAAGGCACCCAGAAAGCTGTGTTATTTTAGAATACAGCGGTTCAGATGAGTTTCAATACAACTTTCATATGACCTAATCAATGGCACTAAGGATGACAGATTATAGCAATTAAAATCCAATTGGGAGGTTGTGATATAACTTGGCTGTATTTGCACATCAGGTTTAACCAAATCAAGTAAAGATCAAGTGGATCCTTATGGTTCCTATTTCATGGTAAAATGATTTGCATTATCCTTGGATTTTTTGGAGTTCTAGAATGTCACACAAATTCAGCCTATTTAGTCTGCAGCCTATTGCATTGGGCAAATCCAGAAAACGGATTAATTTAATAATCAGTCTAAACATGCTGTGTGACAGCTGCCCGTGATCATGTGCCTTTGTCCATCTTGCTAATTGTGGATTAATAGCTAGGAACTTTCACAAAACTGCTCTATATCCATTTAATCCTAAAACTATAATTCTCATGTAAATTCCTTATGACCTTCTGAAGACAAAAATTTGGCCCAGGTCTTCAGAGGTAAAGGAAGGCCAGAGAAGAATTTTTGGGAAGAGTTTTAAAAAGAGAGACAGATAGGACTTTCCAGCTGGTTAGCTAAAATTGGAATGAAGCCTTACAGGACTGCAGAATTCTCTGGAAATCTGAGTTTGCAGGCATGTGAACTAATTACAGAATGAATGCACAAGAGTTTTTTTTCCTGCTATATTCTCTTTGTGTACTATAGCAAAACAGATGTTCAAGATAGGTACTATATTATAATAGTCTATTTAAAAGAAACCACCCAAAACAAAACACACTGACAGCTCCAGGATTTTTCACTCTCACATATATGCATTATTGTATACACTGCATATATAACAGTCTTCTGATGAATTGTTAGAATTAAATCTATTTTAATTTTTTAAAATAGAAAGTGGTCTATTCACATTTCTGCCATAGAGTATAATGCTGAAATTGACTTTCAGATTAAACTGGCATTAGGATATTTTTCCTTTTTACTCCTGAAATCTCTTGTGTTACATTTTATAGCTGTGTTCTACCAATGCTAACTTTTTCAGATGGATTAGATGGTTTCTTAAGAGTAGAAAAAGAGAAAAGTAACTTTATCCTTCCTTTCAAATGCTCCTGCCATGTGCCAAGCATATTGTCTTCTGTATGGAATTAGAAATTATAAGAAGATCAGTTCCTTCTTTGATTTTATAAACAATTAAGAGAGTTTGAGTATCTCAGATCTTTAGTGAAGCAGATTTTTAACAGACTTTTCTATGTCCCCCTCAGCTAAGAAAAAACATACATATTTTGCAAAAATAACTCTTAAAACGAAAGTGATTGACATATCCCAGTGGTGGCGAACCTATGACACGGGTGCCAGAAGCAGCACTCAGAGCCCTCTCTGTGGGCACACATGCCGTTGCCCCAGCATTGCCTCTCCCAGTGACCTCCTCCTCTCCAGCAGCCCCTCTGAAGGAGAATCACCCCCAAGCATGGCCCACACGGAGCAGCGCAGCCAAGGACATGGCAGGCAGGCAGCTTAGACAAGACTCTGCCCTCACGCCCATCATGCAGTTGATGCTGCAGGGCGCAGGCAGAGGGTGTGGTCGCCATAGCGCTCCTGGGCTGCATGGGTGATCTGCAGTGGGCCCTGGAAGCGGTGAGTGGTTCTGCGGGCAGGCGGGGCAGGGGATGGGGGGGCAGAGTGGTTAGTTAGGCAAAATGGGCCTTTCAAGAAGCAGCAGAGCTGAGTAAATTTGTTGTAAAGGAGATGGAATGTTGAGATAATCAGCTGATGGAGAGGAGAATACAAAGTTCTGGTTTCTGTATACTGCAGTTTTCCTATAAGTTTTGTCCTTTGATTGTACTGTGAGCTGATGAGGATGCTTTGATTATTTGGTTTAGATGGGATTTCAGGTGAGTTTTGGCTGGGTTAATTTGGGCCTGAGGGAATTAGGCAAAGAGAGGAACTGGGACTGACCCTGGTAATATCTAAAAGATGGAGAGGGTGGGGAAGGAAGGGCTACAATCTCTATTTTGTTTGTTGGGTTTATTTTTTCTATTACATCCATTTCTAGATTGTTCAGGTAGAGCAGAATGAGTATTCTACAGTCAGTTAACCAAACAGAAAATGTTTGTCTTCACTTAGGAAACCCTAAAGAAACCTCAACCCAGGACTATAATGCCACAGGATCTTGATTATTGTTGCTGCTAGGCCAGGGGTGTCAAATTCAATTTCATTGAAGGCCGCATCAGCATTGCGGTTGCCCTCGGGGGGGGGGCAGGTGTGTGTGGCCAGGTGTTGGTTTTCACATCCAATAACTCCAACACCAGGGTAGGTGCGGCCTACTGGATGGGCGTGGATGGAGTGAGTGTGGCCTACTCAGTGGGCATGGCCAGCTCTACATTGTTCGTGTGCCTGTGGGGGCCTGGGCAGGAGTGGGATAGATCTGAGGGTCTCTGGCAGAAGGGGGTGGGACCGGGGCAAGCGCCAAGGCATGGTCCATTTCTTCATTTCTCACAAAGGGTGACACCTCCTCAGTATGCACCCAGGGGGCGGGACTGACGTGGCAGGCTCTGGTTCCTCGTTGTTTCCAGACGGCCTTGTGGAGCTAAGACTGAATGTATTTCAGCATAGATGGCCACCTCAAAATTGTACATTGGCTCCTGGCTGGCCTGGGCCAGAGCCAAGGCAGTGGGGGCCGTTCACTCACTGTTTCCAGGATGGCTTTGCGGGCCACATGAAACCACTTCGTGGGCCGCATCCGGCCCCCAGGCCTTGTGTTTGACATGTCTGTGCTAGGCTGTACCTCCTCCAAAGTGCAACCTAATTTTCTCTTTTTGACTTAGATCACTTTTACAGGCAAGGAGCTATCTCCACTGGGACAAGGTAATCACCATAGTTAATGTTTTCTTTATTGTTAATACAGTTTGACAACCATAAATGTTTGCTTTTTATCCAGGACTTGGACAATTTCCTTCAGCATAAATTTGGGCTTGCCTGTATTTTTATCACACTGTTATTTTATTTTGTTACACCACCATATCTTGATTCAGATGCGCTATGACAGTGGTAATGAACCTGTGGCACGTGTGCCAGAGGTGGCACTCAGAGCCCTCTTTGTGGGCACGCATGCCGTGCCCCGGAAATGGTGAGGGACTGGCCCCCACCACCCTGGCCCCACCCACCCAGTCTGCCATGACCACCGCAGCCACGCCCACCCGGCACCCGTTGATAAATAAGTGGGTTTTGGGTTGCAGTTTGGGCACTGGGTCTCTAAAAGTTTCACCATCACTGCGCTATGATATGCAGTCACTTGCATCTAACCCTATTCCATGTAAAGTCTCGTTGAATTTTAACTGTTAATAGATAAAGAAATTATCCTCATGCAAAGAAGCTGATTTCATGCAAACCTCATCTGTAGTTTGCAATTAATTTATTCAGCACTGTCAATTGTTCATTTTAATTAGAGATTCTAGATGTTCTTCCCACTGGCTTTTTCAAACACAAACTTTCAGAAACACTGAATTTAATTTAATTTTAAAACTGCATAAACCAATACAATCCATGTAAAGTCACAGCATTTTCTCATTTTTGCAATAGATAATCATATAAAGGGGAACAGAGGTTCTTTACTCTGTAGAGTCCAAAGTAGGGCTACAAAAATCTGGACGCCCACTGGAGGGCAGCACAGTATTAACATTCTCTTTGTTTCCATGTAATGGTCATCCAGGTTTTATAGCTCAGATCTTGTAATGGTAACCCAAATTATGTTTCTTTAATGGGAATGAGTTAAAAAAAGTATGGGCAATATGTAGCCTTTTAGGTGGTAGTACTAAGTTCTTGTATGAATTTCCATCTTCTACAATCGAAACAAGCAATATTCAGCCCACTAAATATTTTTGAATTTCAACTCCCATCCACTCTGGCTAATATGACACTGAGATAGAAATTGCAGTCCAGTAACAACTGGAGGATCATCTGTCACTTAAAGGTAAAGGTTTTCCCTATCCAGTTGAGTCCGATTCTAGGAGGCATACTCATCTCTGTTTCTTAGCCGAGGGAGCCAGCATTGACCAAAGATGCTTCTGTGGTCATGTGACTATATGTCAAGGTGCATGGTCAGCATGACTATATGTCAAGGTGCATGGAACATTGTTTCCTTCCCACCAAAGTGGTACCTATTTATTTACTCACATTTGCATGCTTTCAAACTGCTAGGTTGGCACGAGCTGGGGCAAGCAACAGGAGCTCACCCCGTCACGTGGCACTTGGGTCTCGAACCCGGTCTGTCAGCTTTCCAACTGACATGGTCAGTGTCTTTAACTGCTGAGTCATCACATCCCCAGTTATCTGTCACTTAGTCCTTTCTTAAACAGCTATTCAACAATATCTAACTAGCATACATTATTGTTACAATTTAAGGCAGAGAACAAAATGTAGTTGTTTGCAAAAACAAAATGGCAGATTTAGATATGACTACCAACTTATTTTGGATAGTATACAAATGCTACAGAACTAAAATATTTGAAATGAAGTATCATATTTGAAGAAGGGGAAATTGCTTTTTTCCTATTTATAATGAAAAAGTCCTCAATAAAAGCTGCATTTTTCTTTGAAATATTTACATATAATGTTTTTTGTAAGCTATACACAATGATAATGCCTTTTTACTGCACCTGTTGGCTTTTTATTTTTTTAGGAAAAAATAAAAGGCTTTTTCTGTTGGTGAAACCATAACAAGGAACAAGTTCAGATATAATAAGCGATCATACCATTTTGAAAAGATTCTTCTTGAAATAAGTTTATATTAAAGAAGATTTTACATCTGAGCAATTTAGAGCTACCGGTATGTCATTTCTGAGGATACTGAGAAGTTCCCAGTTTCTTTACTCATATAGTTCTAATTAAACCATAATTGTGCTGTTCCCTACAAAATGAAAGAAAATGGTTATATTCAGTATCTTTTGGGACAATAGATTGAAATGATCCTTCCAAACAGACTAAAAATAGTGTTGGAAAAAGGATTAAAGGAATGTGAGATTATGACTGACTCCTGAAAGTAAAAAAGAATACTAGTCTTTGACCAATGTAAGTTTAAACAGCACAGTTTTAAATAATAATTTATGTTCAGAAACATATTTCTGAGTTATTTTTGAAAACAGTGCTATGGGCTCATCTACCATTTTACTTCCATAGTCATGGAAGTAAGTATATTAGAAAAGATGCAGTTCATAACAATCACATGCTTTTAAGCAGATAAGATGTTGGTCATATAAATACACCCAGCTTTTTATGATAAAATATGGATGTGCCCAGCAAAAATGCTTGAAACATGCCTTAACCTAGGAAAAAGAGACAGCATGAACTTGGTATCCTGTTCTGATTGTGCTACATTTAGATCCAAATATTTGCATCCTTTTCTAAAGTTTTACTAAATGGAAAATCAATGTCAGTGCCAATTATTCTGTTTTTTAGCAGAATTGGATGAAACTATGCTAATTCTTCCTGAGAATATTGCAGACAGAAGGGCGGGACTAACATGTGGGTAGCTTTGGCACACAATGAAAACAGAAGATTGTTGGCTTCAGGAAGACTTTAAAAAGGGCAAGATTTCAAGAGCAACAACTGGAAAACTTACTGATGTGTCAGGCTCAACACTAGTCACAACAAAAACTGAGGACTGAGCTCATACTTTACCATAAAAAATAACTGCTACCTTTTCTAAGAAGAGTTCATGAGACAGAGAAACCAACCCATGAGACAAAGAGACAAATTTGCCCAGGAGGTATACTTGGCTGCGGTGTTAAGAAAGCAGCTCCCATTACTTTGGAAGCTGATGGTAAGGACAGTCAAAGAAACATTGAAAACTAAAGGTGTCACAGCTCCCATGTGATTTTCTTTATCTGTCCAGCTGGTATTGAAACATCCTATGAAAAATTGGAATGGTGATGGGACCATAAATATAGGAACTACTTTGCAGTTGTGAAGAAAGATTTTGTCAAAGGAGTTTGAATTACATCCTACTGCTGCAAAATCAAGGGCAATGGAAAGTTATCCCCTGGGACAAAGAGATCAACAGAAAGAATTCTTCAGTGAGCAAAGATGTGCCAACTCATTATCAGACATAGCATTCATTTGTGATCCTGTCATTCTCATTGTGTGTATTTGCTAATCTATCATGTATCACCAGGAGCCATGGTGGTGCAGTGGTTAGAATGCAGTGTTGCAGGCTAATTCAGCTCATTTCCAGGAGTTTGATTCTCACCTGCTCAGGGTTGCCTCAGTCTTCCATCTTTCTGAGGTCATTAAAATGAGAACCTAGATTGTTGGGGGCAACATGCTGACTCTGCTTAGAGAGGGCTTTAATCCAATGTATTTCTCTCTTATCCACCAGAGCTATAGGAACAACTCCAAACACAAAAGCCCAAGAAGGTATAAAAACCCACCACTCCCAGCAACGTGTGCTCAACTGCTCCAGAGCCTCATGTCTTGTAGTTCTGCTCTTCAGTAAACTACAACCTTCTTTCTAAAGCAATCTCCATTTTGTTTATTCCTGGCTTGGGCTGGACCCTGATGAAGATTTTTCTTTCCACAGTGGGAACTATTTGAAAATTACTGGTTGAAACCCAACTGCTCAGTTTCCAATATTCTCCTATGCCTTCCCTTTTCTCACTTCTCTCTCTTTTTAATGGAAAGCAAAAAGCAACCTGTGAAAAGAAGATGAAAACTCTTTTCAGTTTTGAACCAGACAGACATATAAATTTCCTTAAGATGCAAGTATTCTGACAGTTGATGTAATCAACTGCCTGAGAACCACACAAAAAAAGCCCTAGTGATCTCTGTGTGATCATTTGGAAGATCAGAACTACTTAGCAATAGTAGAAAACCAATACTCAAAGATTGATGAATAACAGAAATAGTCTAGGTGAGTATGTTTGTAATTAGCATAATTTTCCATTGAAAGAGGAAGTATATACTGGGAGGCAAAATTTGTGAACACTTCATGCTGTCTACAGGAAACCATAACAAAAATACTATGAGGATGGAATCACAAAGCTCACTAAAGGACTTCTGACCCAGATCATCCACCTCATTGCATGACATCTCCAAGTCCCAGATTAGTGGCTGAGTAACCTACTGGGTTATGCATCTAAGAAGGAATATATATGTGAATGAAGACTGTTAACAGAAATCCAATAAAATCTATTACTTTATGCTGCACTTACATTAGTTACTGAACTTGTCCATCTTGGTCCTGATCTCTAAGTGCAGCTGCTCCAAGGTGCTCAAGTTTGATTCATAGATTTCTGTCCTGCAACAATAGAAAGGAACTTGGAGGAAAGTAGGTATTTTGTAATAGAATGTGTACAGTGGAAATGTATAGCTGTGTGTTCTCAGTTATAAAAAAATTACAGTAAAACCTCACTGGTACAGATCCTCTATGCATGATGCACAGAGGACTCAATGAAGAGTTGGTCAATAGAATGAGAAAATAACAAATTATTAACTAACTGATATCAGCTTTATTTCTGAAATAGGATAAATTGGATAAATTTGAAAAAAAATATTAAAAAAACTTACAGTGCAGATAGCTTGTATGGAATAGGTAATAATCAAAAGCCTTCTATTCCAAGTGGATGAAATATAGCTCTAAAATATTTTGCTTTGACATCTCTGGTGTTATCTCTTATCATTTTTTAAAAAATTAAATAAATCAATTAACTTCTCTGCATAGCAAGAACAGAATTGTTAAAAATCTAAAGGGATTTTGTAATGGTATTTGGCAAATTTGCATCAGAGATGCAACTGTTTTTATAGTTGGCAAAATATTGAACAAAGATTCCCATAAATAAATGAAATGTCAGTATTTTGTTTTTTGGAAACATCTGCAAGGCATTTGAAGATGTTGACTTTTAGCTCAGCGGTCCCCAACCTTTGTGGCTTGCCAGCCCAGCTGGTTGAGAGGAATTGGGCCCCGTGAGCATCGGGCCAGTGTGCACTCACATGCCCGGGAATTGGGGACTGCCGTTTTAGCCCAACCTTTCTACAATAAACCTTATTCTTTTTTAAAATTCCAATAGGTAGAAAACAACTGTATTACATTTACTTTTTATTTTATTTTAATTGTCTTTTCTTGTTCCCTTGCGTTTCCCTTACACAATATTCTTATATGTATACATCAGGTAAGTTCACTTTGCTGTATTAAGCAATGATGTTATTTATATAATTTTGACTTAGATGAAATATGTAAAGCAGGCTACTATGAATCTCTCTCACACACAAACATTCCTAGTTTAGTACTGAGTTTGAATTCAGCTCCCGACATTTGGCTTCACCATTTAAAATTAATGTACAGGCAGTCCTCAGCTTACGCCCAAAATTTATGTTGCTAAATGAGAAATTAGTTAAGTGAGTTTTGTCCCATTTTACGACTTTTCTTGCCATGTTTGTTAAGGGAATCACTGCAGTTGTTAAATTAGTAACATGGCTGTTAAATAAATCTGGTTTCCCCATTGACATTGCTTGTCAAAAGGTTGCAAAAAGTGATCACATGACCCCAGGAGACTGCAACCATCATAAATATGATTCAATTGTCAAGCATTCGAATATAAATCACATACCCATGGCATTGCTGCAATGGTGATAAGTGCAAAAAATGGACATGTCACTTTTTTCAGTGCCGTTGTAACTTTGGTCACTAAGCGAAATGTTGTAAATTGAGGACTACCTATAATTTCTCAGAGTTTCCTAATTTCCCTAATCCCTTAAAATAATTCACAATCCACTTCACTTACAGTAGGAACCCATTTAAAGTCTCACTTTTGAATCACATACTAGTCACCAAATTTTAGTCTAAAATTAAAATTAGACCGCTGGTCTAAGGAGTTGTGAGAAACCAGCTTAATCATCAGTTTATAGTTCAGTGTATATGGAAATCCCAAAAATTGGATTGAGTAAATTATGTCTGAATAATGTAAGCATGTTATGCAAATATAGACATTCTTAGCATTGTGTGTTTGTATTCATATGTTGCATTAAAATAGAACATGGTTTATTTGGTTATGGATTAGTATGTTTTTTTGAGTTCAGCAGTGGTTGAACAAAGAATGGTTTAGCGTAAAATCTATCTGGTGTGACTGAGTTCACCCTACGACTTGTTTTAGTATGTGTTGTTCACATCCAGTCATTGATTTATGGCTCAGAAAAATCAGACAATAAATCCCGATTAAACCAGCCATAGAGGAGGTTATATATCCGATCCAAACCAGCATTTATCACGCTCAATGTAAACTTCCAACCGTGGGATTTATTTCTAACTAAATATTCCAAAACACGCATGACATTAACTGAAGAATAAGCAATAATATGCACCTCGAAGTTTACATTCATTTAATGGATAACTGATGGCATTTTTATGTACTAAAAGTAAAAAAGAAATTAAAAAAATCCACGCGCTGCGACTGATTTGTTGCATAAACCCCAGTTTGAAAACACCGGCGCGAGCCAGCACCAACAAAATCGGTTGGTAGGTAGACTCCGCCCCCATAATCGGGCGGGTGACATCCCCGCTCCTAGAACGTCAAATCCTCAGGAGCCAATGAAACGCCGCGCTGGACCCAGTTCCCGACCGCCTAATGCTGTAGTTCTTCGGCCGCACGTGATCGCGTCCCTCCGTCCGTGGCAGCCGCGGAACTAGGAAGCGGTCGGTTTCTTTGTCATCTTCCTCGCCCGCGGTGGCAGCTATGGGCTCGGTCACTTTTTACTGCTACTGCTGCCCGGCGTCTTGTTGGGCCTATGTGCCGAGGAGAGCCTTCTTCCTGGCCGACGTTTGTTACTGCAAAGTGGTTTGGAAGAAATAGTTTTGGGAGGCCGACACCGCGCTTGGCCCTTGGACCTGGAGGATCTGCCGTCGCTTGAATCGGGATTCTTAAGGGTTTTGCAGGAGCCGCAGCTGGATCCAGAGTGCAAGGAGCTCTTGAATGCCTTCGTCAACAGCAGCCTAAGATTGGCTGGCTGCTTAATACAGAGCGCCCGGCCTGTGACGCTCTGCCAAAACTGCTATCACCAATTCGGGGAAGTCATGCAGCAGTTCAACAACATCGAGGTGCGTGGATCGGGTTCCTTAAACATTGGGGTCAGCGTTAGATCCGTTCCTGTTTTTGTTACCGGAACAGTTAGTTGCTCCATCAAAGCTGTCCCAGTTCTGTCTGGCAAGTACTTCTGTTGAAGCCATAAAGATTCTTGTTGGTGCATTGTATAACATTGGTATTTTTGTGGGTTGCAGTTGCATCGAATGTCTAAGGGGCCGCAGGGCCAGTTGCAGCTGCCACAGAGAAATATGGGAGTCTTTTGGAAATTATAATTTGATTTGTTTGTTTTGGAGGCTACCCTTAAAATTCTCTTGGAATTTTCAGGGCTTGGGATAATACAAGCATGCTTTGTCTAAAAACACGGGTTTTTCAAAATTGTGGTGGTGGAACATCTTTATCTTGGGGGGAGGCTCCTCTTCTTATATCTGTGGAATAAAAACTTGGGAGTCTGCTTTTTGTGACTGATAGAAGAGGGAACTCATGAAACAAGTAGGAACTACAGTAATCATATATATCCTATCTTAGAGTAGAGAGGTTCTTTCTGGGATGCAAATTATATTTTGTTTTCCTTGTCAGTGGGATTGCTCATAAGTGTCTCCATGAGATGAATGACATACTTTGCAGCAAGACGAATTAGTTGGGTTTATTTTTTGATAAAATATCTGAGTAGTGGTCAGGTTGGCAGATAGAGGCTTGGGGAGTCAAGAGGTTTTTTTTTTCCCTCTTCAAGTGACAGCATCTGGCTGATGTTGGCTGATGAACAGTATTGGGCCTGCTTAGTAATTGGATGTGAGCATTAGAGGAGACCAATGGCCAGCCTCTTCCTTATGCCAAAAAGCCCTGTGCCCATATAAGCATATAAGTCACTGGGAGAATGAAAGGATAGTTACTATAGGTAAACTTAGAATTTGCCATTTTCCATATTCATATAAAATAGTCATAGGGTTTGCAATGAGCTATCCACATATTTATTCCTTGGCTTACAAATCTCAGGTAGGCACAAACAACTTAATTACTGAATCCTTCATGGATCATCATGCATGGTATACAGTTTGGTGTTTATAAATTCTGAAAAAATAGAAATAAGAAAAATCAGCTGACCTAAAGGCATGACTGAATCTGAAAAAAAAAATCACATTGTCACTTTAAATTACATTTGAATGTAGCAATTACTGCTTTGCATCAGGAAGAATTTAAGATAATGTATTGTTGCTAGAAAAAGATAGAAGTGATGCAGTCTATCATATGATTTTTCCCATGTTAAAATCACAAAAATAGAAAATCTGGAAGAATGATTGGAATGGAATGTTCTCTTATGTTGCAGCCTGTGAAAAGAGTTAATTAAATTGATGCAAATGCTTTTCTTAATTAAGGATGGCTTAACTTCTGTTCCACTTACGGATCTGCTCTGGGATGAGGGGACTTTATAAAACAAATTTGGGAATTGCTTGGGGAATATATGAAAGAATGCATTTGAAAGAGGGGGCTACTACTAAGGCAGTGATGAATTTTACCTCAGAATATTTGCATCAGTAGAATATATTCCCCGAACATTTTTTTAATTGTTTATAAAAAAATCACTAAAATATTTGCAAAATGTGTGGATTTGATATCCAAGTTACAAGAATGTAGATATCTGGTGACCATTGTCAAAGGAGACACTATAAAGAGTTAGGGATTCACCACTAAAATAAATGATCTCCCAGCTTGTCATTTATATATCTGAAGACAAAGATATCCAGTGGAGAGACTTAAAAGATGTTCTCAGCAACTGATGGACTAGCACAGAAATTCCCTTGAGAGAGCTGTTTCAGTTCCTGAGTAATTTAAATCTTTAATGCCGTTTGTTTGGATAACACATGTATGTCCCAATTTTATTAGGAAGATAACATTGTTTTTATATGTACAAGTGAACTACACTGCAATACTGTATTTATTCAGAAATAATTATTTCTAACTCAGTGGGGCCTTCCCCTGCTGAAAGCTATTCTGTATTGGTTTGTAGCTTTAAAATGCAATCTTACAGTACCACAGAATAGCTAATATATTCTTGATTGTTGGAACTGCTAACAAACTATTTCTATATGTGTATTTTCTCCTTTCAGAATACTACTAAGAGTAACCGTTGTGCCCAAAGTCTCTTGATGTCAGACAGGCTACAGATGGTTGCACTTGTGAACAAGTTTTTTAATGATACATGGATAAAAGCTAATTGTGCAAGTATGTATTCTTTTTGTCTGCATTCTTGTGTATGTTTGAATATTCAATATGAATAAAAGAATATATTTTTCTATTTTTTTAAAGCTATATACAGGGGTAATACATCACATATCAATATGCACACTTCTTCTCTGGCATTAGTTTTAATATAAGAAAGATGATTTCCAGAGCTAAATAATTGCTTATTCATTATTCTCAGTTTCTACAGATCCTGATTGGGTTCATAGACTTATGCCATGGATTGTTTGCGATTTATTGATTTGAGCCCATAGAACACATACAGAATAGTTTATAATTCACAACAGCTGGCTATACACAACATACTAAGCTAAAATCAACCAAACATTGTAGCAAAACTAAAGTATAATAAATATCTTATTTCTGAAATGAGATGTGAAGAATGTACCAGGTGAAGGGGTGCAGGTGAACTGAGAACAGGGCAATCCACCATGCTTATATGACAAGTCTGAAAGGCCTGTGTTTCTTTTGATGGCATTTTCTTTTTAATGAGGTGTATAGTATATGCTGGATTAGTCATACCTGTATTGCTTTTATTAGTTAAATGAATTGATGGATATTTTTTATGTATTCAGCAATACTGTGGTTATAGTTGTATTTCTCAATTGTTTCTTTGATTCTGTTAATTAAAATAGGAAGGGAAATGACAAGAGATGATGATGATTTAGGAAATATCTAAAATAATGTGCTGTTCACCATTGTTTAAAACCCAAAAGCTTGCATCGTGTGTATGTGTCTCCATGTGTATATACAGTATATACGTATACATATGTAGATATATAGAATATATGTGTAACAAAAATGAGAAAGAAGGGAAAATAGTGTTTTACATAAATATTTTGATAAACCTGTATGTATATGGCCTTTGTTGATGTTTTGTACATTATGTTTAGAGTTTGTAGGATGGACCCATAGATTTGAGAAATAAATAAATAAATAGGATAATTAAGGCATGTGGTTAAGGTACCAGATAGGAAACCATGAGACTGTGAGCTCTAGTTCTGCCTAAGGCATGAAAACCAGCTGGATGACTTTAGAGCCCTCTTGTCTCAGCTCAACTTGCCACTGGATTGTTGTGGGGAAAATAGGAGGAGTATAGATATGTTCACTGTTTTGAGTTGTTTATAAAAATAATAAATTCAGAATATAAAATTAATGTTGGGCAGCCTTATAAATCATTTCAATTTATCATAATCAGCAATGGCACCTACCTCTGTAAGCAACTTTTTCATATATTGCAAGTTGAATTAACTGCATGAAGCTTAACTATTTCTTTTATCAGTGTTGTGGACCTGTTCCGGCAATTCAGTGTTATAGAGCAGGGGTCCCCAAACTTTCTGGGTTGGTGGCCGGGGTGGTGGTGAAGGCATATTTATGCATGCGAGCGTGCGCATGGGGCCACAAGTGCACGTGTGACGTAAACGGGGCCACAAGTGCCCATGCAACGCTTGGGCAACGCTAGCACCTGTTCAGTGCTGCGATGCTAGCGTGAGTGGAGATGTGTGCACTTGCAGCGACGCTAGTGCCTGTGCAATGCCCAATGCTAGCGCGAGTGGGGGTGCACAAGAGGGGAAAGTGTGTGCTCACAGCGATGCTAGTGCCCACACGACACTCATGGCATCACTAGTGCCTGCGCGATGCCTCAGTGCTAGCAGGAGAGGGGGTGCAAACACATATATGCACTGGCTAGCAACTCACACGATTGTAGTGGGCCATGGACCAGAGGTTGGGGACCCATGCTATAGGACAGTGGTGGCGAACCTATGGCACGCGTGCCAGAGATGACATGCAGAGCCTTCTCTGTGGGCATGCACCATCGCCCCAGCACACATGGTCTCTAAAAGTTTGCCATCACTGGTCTAAAGCCAGCCAGCCTGGAACCGCCATTGGGAAGCCCACCATCCCACCCATCAGAGACCCCCTGGATCTCCCCCAACCCTGCCCGGCTCCCACAGGTGTCCCTCCCTATAAGCAACATCAAGGTGGCCACGCTCACCCCAGCCATGCCCACTAAATCTGCCATAACTACTGCAGCCACACCCATCCAGTGGCCATGCCCACCCAGTCTGCCAAGCCCACTGTAGCTGCACCCACCTAGTGGGCCACATCCACCTGGCACCCAGCGATACATAAGTGGGTTTTGGGTTGCAGTTTGGGCACTCGGTCTCTAAAAGATTCGCCATCACTGCTATAGGAAAAAAGTATCCGAGAAAATACATTTTTAATGGTACCATGTTTCCCCAAAAATAAGACCCACCCAGAAAATAAGCCCTAACCTAATTTTTAGGGTGTGCCTAATATAAGCTCTAATAAGCCTGGGGGGGGTGGCCAGCACAGAGGCGGTGAATGCATGGGGGCTGACAGTGTCCGACAGCAAGTGCAGCCACACAGCGTAGGTAAGGCTGAGTGCCGAGACAGAAGCAATCTGGATGCACTATGCGGCCATCTGGCTCATGGCAGGCCTGTAAGGTGGCACCGGCAGCAGGCGGAATCAGCGGCAAGGGGGGGAGGCAGGTGATCCAGATGCACTGCGCATCTGCCTCGCCCACCGGAGCCTTGTGGGAGGCTTGTGCGGTGGCACCGGCAGCAGATGAAGGCAAAGGCACAGGAGGGAGTCAGTCGATCCCGACACACCTCCTACTCAGTCCCAATGTCTCTCGGTTTGCCTGGGGCAGCGCTGGGGCAGGCGGCCACATCGTGTGTCAGGATCACCTGCCTCCCCCCCGTGCTTCTGTCTCCCCTTGCTGCCAGTGGCGCTGCACGAGCCTCCCATGAGCCAGGTGACCGCACAGTGCATTCGGATCGCCTGCCTCCCCCCCGGCTCTCCCTCTGCGCTCGGACTTACTTGCACTGCTGCAAGGGGCCAGTGGGTTATGGCTGCTGCCAGACACCATTGGCCCCTGTGCATTCGCTGCCTCTTGTGCATATGCCAGGAGGTGGGGCGCATGCTGGGCTGATCACCCTGATACCGTATTACCCCAAAAATAAGCCCTCATGCATTTTTTGGTGCCCCAAAAAATATAAGACCAGATCTTAGTTTCAGGGAAACATGGTACATACTTGTAAATACCTGTGCACAAAACTAAGGAAACATTACATATCTATAGACAATGACCGATTACAGCCCTGTTGTTTCAATTTGTCACAAGAGTGTTTTGCAGCCACACAATTGACATGGAGTTGATACATATGATCCTTATTTGTTTAAATTTCTAAGGCTGTTGTGCCATAATGATTTGAAAAACAGTTCCAATATAACACCTGGGAAAAAATGATGCCTATAGAAACAATAAAATCCACAAGTTGAATTCAAAACATGCCCATAAGAGGTTCACTACTTATTCTAGTCCAGGGCCTGGGGAAGAGCCAATTTTTGAGAGCCCATTTAAACAAATTCAGGTAGGGGTCATGCAGAACACTATGGGAGAGATTGTTGCCAAAGACAAGGACCGTAACAGCATATTTGTGTACGAGTGTTCCTTTGGACATTGGGTGTGAATATCCTTCTAGAATCTGTGTTGGCCTTTTATCTTTTTGTTGCAGCTTATAATAGTGGAATCCCAAAAGCCTGCCAGAGTTTTCCTCTGCCTTTTTTATACCTCTTATACCATAAAGGATCAAGGTGGAGTTGAGTCTCTCATGCTCCCCTCTTTTATCAAATTATGTTGTTGTTTACATTCTCTCTTGTCTTTTAAGGATTCTGCTAACTGTCCTTGCATTCTCTTCATTTTTATCTCTGCATTGTTCTACAGTTTGTGCTCTTCATCTGCCAAAATGATGTAACGCAAAATGTTTCCAACGAATATACTTGACATGGAAGCTGATTTGAAAATCATCTTAAATTGTGTGTGTTTGTGTTTTAGATAAATAATGGCTAATTTTGCCATGCAAACATACTGCCTTTTTTACTTGTACTTAACACAGACTTGTAATGCTAAATTATAGCTCAGTGGAGTATTGTGACAAGAATGACGCATGGCTTGGCACAGCTGAAAGGAATGTTCAGAAGCCATGTTTAATATTAAACAACTATTGATAACTGTAGTTTGTAGTTGCCTTTTTTCTAGTAGTCATAGTTAAGATTAAAGAATTGGACATAACACTGAACTCCATCATTTTTGTAACAAAAAGTAAATATACAACCTCCATAGTGCACTGATGAAAAAGAGGAGAGAGAATAGCATCCAGGTGCAAGGCTTGTTGATTAATGTGTCATATATATTATATCTATCATATCATATATCACACTATATTTAGATTGATATTCTCCTTTTCACTACATGGCACTCAAAGTCAGTCGTATTCAGGAATAATTTATTAAAAATATATATGAAAGTTATTTTATGTGAGAGAATAACTCATGAATGAAGGCAAATATTATGCCCCAGGATAATGTTGCAGGATCCAATCTGGGTTGATCGTTTAGTTTTCCGAGCTTTTGGACATGTGCTGGAGCCCATCCTCAGGGAACTTTTCTCTATCGGAATGTGTGCTTTGGGCTATTCCATGCTCAGAATTTATATGGTGCCTGGTTCTCTGTGGCCTCCTAGCTGTTGATTGGCGTATTGATGGCCGACCATTAAGTTGTTGGCTATTTATTCCTTGTTCTGCCAAGTCCTAGTCAGTGCAAAGGTTTAAGTGCCGTCAGTTGAATGAGTATAGAGGCCCCATTCAGATCTTTACACTTGAGATGCAACAATTTGACATTCTCTCTGGGGCAGGGGTAGGCAACCTTGGCTCTTTTATGACTCGTGGACTTCAACTCCCAGAATTCCTGAGCCAGCCATGCTGAGGGAAAAGGGAGAGGTTTCCATGGTGAGCCATGCTGGCTCAGGAATTCTGGGAGTTGAAGTCCATGAGTCATAAAAGAGCCAAGGTTGCCTACCCCTGCTCTAGGGTAGTGGTTCTCTTTTTAATGCCGCGACCCCCAACCGGTCGTAAGTCGAGGACTACTCAACCGGTCGTAAGTCGAAGACTACTCAACTGGTGCAGCACCGTTTGCAGAATGGGACTTTGGGTGGGCTCAGCAGGGCAGAGACAGCCTGGACAATTCCTATTGGCTTTTGAAAGCCAATAGAATTAGACTCTATTCAAGAGAGTCTATTCTATTGGCTTTCAAAAGCCAATAGAATAAAAGGGAGTAGCATAGCTAAGGAAAAGGGGGAAAAAATGGTGGACTGTGTTGTTTGGTGACCCCCGTGAAATGGTCGTTCGACCCCAAATGGGGTCCCGACCCACAGGTTGAGAACCACTACTCTAGGGGATAAAGAAATAAAGCTTCATTTTGTGAAAGAATAAAAAATGGAACACTTTTCATGATAGTTATCTTAAGCCAGTAGTGGACAACTTGGTGCTACTCAGATATCTGAGTGTGACTCCCATAGTCTTGCTGTTATTCATGCCAATTGAGGCTGAGATTTGGATATTAAAGCATTTGGTATTTTAGCCCTCATTTGTTTCCTCTCTGTGCTCCTCTTTACACAGCTTTGATTTATGGAATTGTGTGAAGCAGCTCTGGGTTGTCTCAACATTTCCTTCTTATGAGCTCAGTTTCTATTTTCATCCAATTATTAGGGTAATTTGAAATAGTATAAGGACTACTAAGTTCATATCGGTGTTAAAAGAGAAAATATAGATCGTATCACAGAAACCTGATACTGTTTTGTACTACTGGATGCTTTTGTTAAGCCTATCCATTTATGTCCTCTTTGTTGGTCTTAAAATTCTCATCTTTCTCAATCTTACTGCTGCCTCTGATTCAGCTGAGGTTCTCTCTTCCCTATTTTGTTTTGTTTCTAAGCTTCTGCAATCTCAACTTCAGCAAGAAATATTTCCACATGCTTAATCTATTCTTTTGAGACTGGATTCATATTATGTGTTTGGCAAAAGGCAATTTGATTGTGGCTTAGCATGTTATGCATGCACAGACTGTACATTTTATAATCCATAATTAAACAAATCATGGCTTAATATGTTGTGAACTTACTGGGTGTCCCCCCCCCAGCCTATTGCTTCCTGTGCTTGTTAAGTGTCACTTATTTTGTGGTGATACATATTCTATATACCTACCCCTTCACCTTTGAAAATTGAAAACTGATTATTTGGGTGCCTCTTCCTTTCCAGACATTTTTCCTTCTAAGCTCTCTTTTCCTTCACTGCTGTCACTATCTGATAACATCAATGTTACTAGTCACCCCTACATTTCTCTATCTTGTCAAAATTATGATACTTTTTTCCTATTATTGAAAAACAAATTTCATTCAGTGAAAACTGCTGTCTGTGTCCTGGTTCTTTTTTTCTCCCAGTTGTATCTCCATGTTCACTTAAAGCCATCTTGTACTCTGTTATATTTTTCTTCATCTTTCTGATTAGTGACTCTATAATTTCCCCCATTTTATTGTTTTTCTTTTTCTTTTCCTTTCCTTTTCTTTTTCCTTTCTTTTCCTTTCCTTTCTTCCTTTCCTTTCCTTTCCTTTCCTTTCCTTTCCTTTCTCCTTTCCTTTTCTTATGTCACCTCTCTCATATTCTTTTGCTTCCTGTTATGTTTATGATAACCTCCAACCATTACTTCTGCTAAGCTTCTCATCCCTTTCACAACTTTTCGCTATTTCTCCTACTGCCAGACTGACCATCTTATTGCTTAATTTGGCAGTATTTGGCAACAAACATGCCTTGCAAAGTTTCCAAGAGTTTACAACAACTGTATTTGGGAAGGGGTTTTTTGCCCATGTTTTGTGCAGAAGGTCTGAGGTCTTTGTTGGCTTGTCATCAAGATACCAACCTAGTCTCTCTTTTTTTCTCTTTCCCCTCCTCTTTCCACCTAGCAACATTGTGGTGGAAGGAAGAATTCCCCCCCCCCCATCAGTTCTTGAAGTGTATGAGGATCTATTTTAGGTCTCATTTTTGGAGGTGTTGTTTTTTTTTTCTTTACAGAATTTCAGCAGCATACCATTGGAGAACTCTATAAAGAAGAACTTTAAAAAGAAGGGAACTGCATGTGATACTGAAGTGTCATTGATTGTGTCTGCCTTAGACTAGCATTTGTCATTCCTTTCATGGCAGGTTCATAGATTATACTGTGTTACTTATACTACTGTATAATTTAAAAGCAGAATAACTATCTGTACAGTAAATAAACCTTGATCTAAAACAGGTTTTTGGAAGTGGATACTGGAGATTTATTGATGCCTTTGACTCTTCTTTCATAGATTGTTTAAACCAGAAGAAGGAAGGCTTATCAGCTAGTACAGTGACGTTCCTGGCCTTATACAATGAATCAATGGCATGCTTTAAACAGAACCTCCAGGTACTTAATATTGTTTATTAAGGGTACAGTTGAGCCCTCTAATTGTATAGTGAATTTCCCCCTTTTTTCAGAGCAAGGCGCTGCAAATGTAATTTACCAACTCTTATGCAGTATAAGCAGTTAGAACAATTATCTTTAAAATGCAGGTGTTCACTACTGACAACAAAATGCATTCTAATTAATGTTCACCTCCATTTCATATGCAATTATGCCGCTGTTTGGGTTTCACAATAGTTGATAATTATATAGGAAGAGTCGTATAATCTCTTCATATAGTAAATCACTTTTTACATTATTTTAGGCCTTGTCACCTCCTGATATAACTGTATGGGTCATCTGATATTTTATTATAGTATGAGTTTAATCGTGGATACATAGCTATTTAAAAAGTTGGTTTTTCACATATAGTATCGGTTATTAAAATCTTTCTAAATCTAGTATCTCTATAAAGTTGGAAAGATGTGGCCAACTTCTAGGATATGATCCAACTATGTTCAGAATTACTATGCTTTTATTATTCAAAACTTCAGACCTGTATATCCCATATATTAATTTATATCATCAGAGTGTTTATTGTCAGGAAGGTTGATAGCAAAATTATAACCAGACGCTTAAAATAGCAACCTTGCTTATTTTAAGGTCACTGTAGAAATCCAATACAGTTATAATTTGCAAAGTATCTATTACTGTTCAGAATGGGAATTGTATTCCTACTACTATACTATTTATCTGTGTTACCAAACCATGTATAATCACTGAACTATTTTGGTATGTAAATTAGATATTAAAAAATGAGAGAAAAATCCTGTTCTTGTTTTTCCCTTCTTAGTGAAGAAGTAAATGCCAAGCCCAGTATTTATAATTTTACATTTAGTTTAAATATTGAAAACTAGTCTTGTATTTTTGAATTCAATAAATTCTTTTGAATTTGTTCGTTTCTTTTCTCTTCTTATTATATTATAATGTGAACATTTTATTTATCCACAAAAGTGAATTTTTTTGGAACATTCTTTTTTCCTATTATATAGAAAAGTCGAGTACCTATGAACTATTAGAGAAGGTAAAATAGAAGAAATGTTAAGAGTCAGTGCAGTTGCATAAGATCTTTTTTTCATTACTAAAGAATGAATGACACAGATGAATTAAATAGAACATTAGGTAGAATCAGAGTGAATTATGAGAAAAGTCAGTTGAGAAGATTCTGTATTATAATAAAAGAAATAAAAAGTGATTAGGATAGGAATAGAATGAGAAAAAATGGACTGCATATAGAACCCTCTCTTCCCCATGTTCCCTTCTATATGGAGGAAAAAAAACCCTGTCCTATATATATTTGCAGGAGGCATCTCAGTATAATCTGCTGAAGCTACTTAAAACACTCATTGTGATTGGACACTTGTAGCTTCAGGAGGGCGTGTAAATCTTTAAGTGCCTTCAGTTAAATAAGTATAGAGGCTCCCTTCAGAGTTTTATACTTCAAATTCCACAGTTTGATATTCTAAGAGAACAAGGAAATAAGGCTTCTGTTTGTGAACACTGCCTGCTTTACATATTTATTTTAAACACCCGGGTGAACTTACTCAGCCTTCCATAATCCATATGCGTCTACAGATAAATTGGAAATTCTCTGGTAATTTGGGATTTTTTTGCTGATTTATTTCAATTAATATGACTGACTGTCCTTCTCAAATTCATGATAAACAAAATTAAAAAATTAAAATTAAAAATTATATAAAAAACATACAAGTACAATCAGTAGCTGAGGTACAGTGATTAACCCAGCCATTGTATGGACTTCACCCCGTACCTGGAACCCCAAAGTCCAATGACAGAACTATGTCTTTAAGGCCTTACCAAAAGTAAGTTGGGTTGGGACTAATCCTGTCTCCAGAGGGCTGATATTCCAAAGGGCTGGTACCATGAAAGAAAAGTCTTCCTTTTTGGATCCTGCCAGATAGCGTCCCCTGGTAGGTGAGACCTGGAACATGCCTCTCCTGCTGGACTTTATGGGAAGGGTAGACATAATTGGGAAAAAGCAATCTGTCAAAGAACTCGTGCCTTGAAGGATTTTATAGATTATTACCAGCACCTTGAATTGAACTTGGACAAATACTGGTAACCAGTACAGCCCATAGAGCAGGTGTGCAACATGCTCTGATTGAGCACATAACTGTCCATGCTGCTGGATTCTGTACCAGCTGTAGTTTCCAGATAAAATGCATTGCTGTACTCCATTTGGGAAGTGACCATAGCATGAGGGACTATGAGCAGGGTCTCTTGATCAACTGGCACACAAAATTATGTAAAGCTCCTTCTGGCCACAGCTATTACCGGTACTTGTTCTGTGAGCAGGAGCTCCAGTTGAATCGGAAGACCCCCCAAATGCACACAAGGTTTATTAGGGCAGAAGAATACTGACATTTTGCCACCATTACCACCACAGGCTAGGTCTTAATAGTGGCACTAATTCATGCAGAGTTGAGTTCACTTTTTGTTGCCCTTCAGTGGCACTTTAATTTTCTCTGTTTCATCTCCCTCAAGTCCTCTGTAAACCAAAGGAAATTATGAAATCCATAGGAGGAGAGAGTCTATATGGGCCTGGTCTGATCCAAAGCCCTATCATCCTCTCATTCTGGGAAGTAAGGACGGCCTTGTAGCAGACTATCAAGAGCAACACAAATCTCCCCCAACAGGGTCCATTAGTTGCCTAAGATGGATTGACCAAATGAATCCAGCCTCCTTGTGCCAGGGGACTGTGCCAGAGAACTCCATGGTTAGCAGAGAATGATTTAACCACGACAAAGATCAGATCAGATTGGGACTTGGGTGACCTGGGACATCAAAAACCTTACTCTTACTAGAAAATTGTGCCAGACAAGAATGTGTAACCTTGTAATGCTGTTTTTTGTTTTGTTTTGAAGATTGTGTATATTTAATTTACCTTCTGTATTTATGTCATCCTTGATAATGAATAATGTAGTACTTTTCTGTTCATGTTTGCCTTTTTCTTCTGTTTTTCATGTTTCATTGTCGATCAGATACCAAATGTTAAAATATGCTGTTGTGCTGGGTTCTGTTATACCAAAACAAAGTACTGATTGTTGATGTAACAGTCATTAACATAACTGTTTTGCATTGATGTGAGAATAGTCAGGAGCTATTGAATAATGAGCATTGTCAGCAGGAGGTAAATGAAAAGAATAGCGGAAGTTGGACAAGAATGGATATACTGACATTTTGAAAACATATCATTTTCACCCAACGTCCTAGTTACTGCATTTTGGCAGTATTTATCTTTCACATCACATTCTGCAATTTCCTTGTAACTCATACTTTTAAGTTATATATAAGATAACTCCATACCTTCCTGTGTTACTGGTTATTAACATCATGTACCTGTTAGTTTTAGTGGGAGGGGCAATCGTTAGCTCAGAATTTGGTGTATCAGTGTGTGCATTCATGGTCCTATAAGTATATAATGCGTTTATCTGGATTTTTTTGGTTATTACTCTGTCTTTCACTGTTAAAATAAACCTACCATTAAAATTATAGACTGATCATTTCTTTGTCAGTGGGCAAACGTACAAAATCAGCAGGGGATCAAATACCGTATATGCTGGCGTACAAGGCGACCCGGCGTATAAGATGACCCCCGTCTTTATAGCTGGGCCGCATTCCTAGAATGTCGTCTTATACGCCGGAAACTACCAGTATTTCCGGCATATAAGATGACTCGGCGTATAAGACGACCCCCGTCTTTGGCGCCGATTTCAGCGCTCGCGGAAGTCGCCTTATACGCCGGCATTTACGGTACTTTTTTCCCCCACACTGCAAGTGCTATTGCTAATTCTATACTTATGGTCACATGATCAGAATTTGACTGCTTGGCAAATGGCATGTATTTATGACGGATGCACCATCTTGGGGCTATGTGATCACCATTTGCAACCTTCCAAGTTGGCTTCTGACAAGCAGTCAATGAGGGAAGCCAGATTCGCTTAATGACCATGTGATTCCCTTAACAACTGTGATTTACTTAACAACTGTAGCAAAAAGGTCATAAAATTAGGCATGACTCATTTAATATCCTCCTTGCTTAGTAATGGAAATTCTAGTCCCAATTGTAGTCACAGGTGGAAGACTGACTGTAGGAGTTTCCCTCTATCTTGCAGCTGTTTGAAGATTGTAGCAGCCTTTTGTGGCAGCTTGGATTATACTTCAAACTCATCTTGAATTTTCTAATCTATTCTTTTAAAAAATAATTTCTTGGTTTATATTTTACCGCCAGGAAGGTAACCTGCTACCAAATAACTACTCAGAGGTCTGCGAGAAGTGCAATAGTACATATAAAAACTTGAGTTTTCACTACAGTGAGATACAGAAGAATGAGCAGCAAGAGGAATCTGGAGAACAGTTTCATTTGTGCATTGATATAGAGGATGCAGTGAGTCTTCCTTTCTGTTTTGCTTTCCTGATACTGTCTACTCATTTGTATCACTTCTCGGTATATTGTAGCATCTCAAGTTGGCTTTTGTCCAATTTAATTACTGCATTATTACTAATCTCATAAGAATGGTTAACTGTAGCTAAAATTCCAGTGCAATAAAACGGAATATAGAAGTAAAATGTATAAAACCATAGCATAGTAGCATTGTCTTTTGTGCCTTTTGGGAAAATTCAGCTTTTTAAATAACAGCATGATAAGAGTAACTCCTGATAAAGGAAGCATTTTATATGTTACTTATATGTAAGGGTATAGGTCTATACATGTTGTATATAGTATGTTTAAATGTGTGTTATGTATGTGTACACTTTGAGAGCAAGCAACTAAATTTCATTTTTAATGTGTGCCATTGTGCCTACAATAAAAAATAACAATAATGGTTATCTATCTATCTATCTATCTATCTATCTATCTATCTATCTATCTATCATTTTAATGTAGCTTGCTGGTTTACATAGGAATCTGAAATGACTTGATGGCACATAATCAAATCTACATATATTGGTAATAATCTGAACAAACCTAGTTCAGGCATTTTAGCACTTTCCACAGCTAAAGGGTTGGATGTTATGGTTCCGGCTAATGAAACACTTCAAAGAACTTCCAGGCATTGATTTTCCTAAAAGTCATTTATTGTTACAAAATGTCGGCACAGGCATAACAGAGGTATGCCAAGATCTAAATTCTCCTCCCTGGAGCAATTAAATTATCATCATGTTCCCTCCCTAAATTAGCAGTCATATGTCACGTTATCCAATCAGTGTGAAGGTCAAAGGTTTCCTTCCTCTCTCTTTCCCGGGCTTTTCCCCCCACCCTCTTTGCTCTGCATTAACTCTAAAAATACTAGACAGTTCTGCATATTGTCAAAGCAAGAATATACAGTATTTGCAGCGTTGACATCCGCCCCCCCCCCTTACAAGAAGGACAGATCCTGTAAAGTAAACAAAAGCACATGTTAAGGGTTATTTTTCGGTTAATTGTGTGAGAAGAGTCCCTCCCATCAGGGAGCCATCGGCTTGCTCAAACCTCACCGTTTGGAAAGCTGTTTTGCCTGTATGCCCATTTTCATGGCAAACGGCAGACTAATAATGCAGCGGGTGCACCCAGAATCAATTAGCACGTTTAAGTCCATTTGTGCCCTAGACTTAGGGATTATAAGTTTCGTGGCCAGTGAAAAGGGCGGGATTTGTCGACTCACCATTGAGTCGTTCTCTCCATCATCATCGCTGTCAAAGGAGAGTAGAGCAGGGGCGGGTCCACCGGAGTCTCGGCGTTCTCCTGTGTGGGGGGTATAATCTGGGCAACAGGTTCCTGCGTGAGCCAGTTGGATTTTTCTCTCGTTAGCTGCTGAGCAGGTTTCTTTCTCATTGCTGGTTCTGGTCTGCTCTGCAGTCAGGCGTAGGGGACTGGACAGGTGGCCGCTCAATGTCCTTTTTGTCCACACCAAAAACACTTAAATGATGGGCCTGTAGGTGGCCTGGGTCTCTCTGCCATTGCCGTGTTTGAAGGCTTTCGTGGGGGTGATTGCTGTCCGGGTAGCTGTGGTTGCTGCTCGGGTTCGTGTGGAGGAGGTTTCTTATAGCGGGTGAGCCGAACATCTAGCTTCACTGCTGTCTGGTACCATTCCTGTAGCCGATCAGATACTTCTCGATAGATGCATGCCTGAGAGAAGTGATAGTCTAATCCTTCAATGAAGTATTGAATCAGGGATTGATCGGGCCACCCCTCTATTTGACCTGTTATCTTGCGGAACTCTTGCGCGTACTCCAGGGCAGGCCTGCCGGCTTGTTTTATTTTGTGGATCTGTTCTGCTGCTTTGAGGCCTATGGATGGGTCCTCAGATCTTTCTCTCAGTCCTAGGAGGAAAAGGTGGGGATCTCCCAGTTCGGGGGCTTGCTCATTATATAGATTGTTCAGCCATTCAGATGCTTCTCCCTCTAGGTTGGACGCAATGACATTGACCATGGCACCTGGTTCCGGGTAGAGATAGGCCCAGCGATTCAAGTGAGAATGCACTTGGTTGAGGAAAAACATCAGCTTCTCTGGGTCCCCATCGAAGGTTGCTTTGAAAGGTGGTGCAATTGCAGGCTGTTGCTGCTGGCCCAATCCTGGCTGCAGATTTATGCTCAGGGGTTGCACGTTCAGGGGCTGTGACCAGTCTCCCTGCTGTGGGCGGTCTCCCACCAGCTGCTGATCTCCTGGTTTCTGCATCACCCCAAGCTGTTACAAGGCCTCTATTAGTTGTAGCAAGCTCAGCTGCTGCTGATCATCTATCTGTGGGGGGGGGGTGCCAATCTGCCCATTGCTGCAGAGGAGGCCTCAGTCTGGGATTCCCTCTGTCTTCAGGACTGCAGTCCCTGGTTGGGGAACCCAGGGTCTGATCTATGAGGGGCTGTAGTCTTCTCTCTGCAGGAATTGGTTTCTGCTTTTCACATCTGGGGTTTGAAATCTTTTCAGTGACTCACCCAAAGTTTGAGTAGCAGGCCATTCGTTAGCTCCGTACCAATCTGCTTTTGAAGTCTTTGCTCCCAGCTGGGAGGTCTGCCAGAATTCACCTTCCCACTCTGGGTTATCAGTAGCCCTTTTCTCATGATAGATTTTCTTCCCCTGAATCTTTACCAGCTCCTCTCAAGGTTAGAGGCAGTGGACGGAGTTCAGGACCCCAGGTCGTTTGGAAAGGATTTGAGATCTTGGCATGATGTTATGGTTCCAGCTAATGAAACACTTCAAAGAACTTCCAGGCATTGATTTTCCTAAAAGTCATTTATTGTTACAAAATGCACAGGCATAACGGAGGTATGCCAAGATCTAAATTCTCCTCCCCGGAGCAATTAAATTATCAGTATGTTCCCTCCCTAAATTAGCAGTCATATGTCACGTTATTCAATCAGTGTGAAGGTCAAAGGTTTCCTTCCTCTCTCTTTCCGGGCTTCCCCCCACCCTCTTCTGCTCTGCATTAACTCTAAACAGTTCTGCATATTGTCAAAGCAAGAATATACAGTATTTGCAGCGTTGACACTGAAAAGCCACCAGTATGTCATCTTACAATAAAAAAACATCTTTTTCTCGCTCTCTAGTTTTGTATTTTCACCATCTGAGTATCCAGCCTCAGTTTATCTCACTGACTGGTTTCTCAAAGGACTAATTGACAGGGATGTCTTTTGCCCATATATTGGAATGTGTTAGCAGTGATGAGGCATGTTGCTAAGGGTAGGCTTAGGTCCCATCAACCACTTACATTAACCTTCTCTTGTACTTCTGTGGGCATTCTTCTGACATTTTCTTAACATGGATCCACTAAGTGGTTTTTGTTTTGTTTTAAGCCTTTCTTAAAGACATATGAATTTGGCACCTTCTATATAGCATCCAAATAAATAGATGCTCTTATTACTGTATGAAATGATTGGATTGTGGTTAATGCAAACTCAGATGTCGAACCCTGAAGAACACTTTAATAAAGCACTTGGCTACAACATTTAAAGCTTTTCAGGGTGGACATTTTAAAATCTATCTGAAAACCTATGAGATTGCTAAATTTGCATGTGCCATTAAGGATAGCCTGATAACTGTAAAAACTATGTTTCTTCTTGTCCAGGAAGGTGGGATCTGTACCCAGTAAAAGGTAGACATACTGATGCTCATTCAATGCAAAACTTTGGAATTTATCCAGATATTGATGATTCCTCAGATGTCTTAATCTCTTTGGTATTTTTTTTTTTTTTTTACAATTGTGTCCTTCTAGATGAACATCACACAAAGGCTGTGGAGCACAACTTTTAATTGTTCTGTCCCCTGCACAGATACAGTGCCAGTGATTGCAGTTTCTTTGTTCATTTTCTTTCTACCACTTGTTTTTTACTTGAGTACCTTCCTTCATTCAAAGCAGAAAAAGCGCATCCTGATTCTGGGTAAGTAAAATCACAAAATCTTTATGGTTTCTATTTGGATTGAAATAAAAAAAAGTTACAATATTGAAAGTGGTATTTGTGCCTAGATGGCATGATGCCCAGTGTTGGGTGCTTTGGAATTTGGGTCTCTGTTCACAATCTGATTAGAATCATCTGGGTTGGAAGTCGATAATGCATCATTTGATTCTGTCTCACTGTTGCACTTTTAAGTTACTAAACAAGTTTTAACTGCCTTTATCAAGCTGTTCTGAGTCAAAGAGCTGTGGTGGCAATTCAGAGGAAATGAATCAGACAACTGGATGATTTTCTCCTATCTTTTTTTTTAAGGTAGTAAAGACAGGGAGCTTTCTATCTGCAATTCGCTCTTTCTGAACAACAGACACAGCGTATTGTTGAACACCTGTGATTAGCAACATCACATTCAGTGTTCTAGTCAACCATTTATTTATAAAATCATTTGGGTGCCATGATTAAAAAAAAATGGAGTGAAGAAGCCTCTCTTCACAGTATGGTCAAGTTACTGCAAATAGGAATAAATGTCTCATATTATTTGACTGTATATGTTGGCTGTTTGGTACTCAGAATAATTTGACATTTGATAAAAATGAACAAATAAATGTGTTGCCTAGATAAAACAGAGGTCCACCTTGTCATTTGAAAAAAAAAGGGATTCAGTTTCCATTTGAGCATGGACAGCAATTTTCTCATTTTCAGATTTGTAATTTTGGGTATTCCTGGTTCAACTCTTGAATGTGATTTCTCAAGTTTTGATGGTGGCCAAGAGTACTTTTGCTCCTGGAAATTAGACCAGACCACAGTGACCTAGGCCTTTGTATTCTGTTGTATTCTGTTCAGAGTTTGGAGCATTCTTACATATTACTGCTTATTGGGAGAACTTTGGGTAGTTCATAACATTGGCCAGAGCATTAACTAGGAATGTGATAGCCTTGTTAATGTCAGCTTCTGATCTGTTTTTGGCACAGTTAAGACTGATAGCCGTGATCCATGAAGTTTTGCATGACTCGAGGTCTATTATATTAAAGATTACTTTCCTCCCTTTGAACTTGTCCAAATTTTAAGATCTGTTGCAAAACCTCTTCTCCCTCTCCTGCCATTATTTGTGAGATGGGAAAATAAGGAAAGGTCTTCTCAATAGCTCCTCACTAGCTTTGGACCTCTTTGCATCGATTGTTCAAATGAATTCTCTATCTAACTCGAAAACTATTTAAACCAGCATTGTTCTTCTTATTGATTTGTAACTATAAATTAGGATTTTTTGCATTATCACTATTTTGGATATTCACGGTGGGAAAGGATGACGTCTCATGATGCCGTTATACCAATGATGCAAATTTAATTGGTAATTCAGTGCCATCATAAACATATACCATTACTATGACTTGTTCTAGATGCCTCTCTGTATAAATTCTGTTATTGAGGACTTAAGATTTCTTGTATGAATATGCTGTTAACTGTTTTTGTGGGATTTATGTTTTTCTTCTCTTTCTAGGTAAGCGCATCCACTCAAATGCCAGCTTTGCGAACATCCAAGATAAATCCAACTGAGCTGTGGGATGCAATGAGATATTAATTTGATTGTTCTGAAGACAATTATAATTTAACTTTACATCATGCTGTAATAAAAGACTGTGTCTCAGATAGGTGTATGCACTATTGTGCAATAGTTCTCAGTGGGAAGCCATGACCTCCAGAGACGAAAAAGAAACTATATTCCTTCCTTCAATCCTTTTTGAACTTTATCTTACTTCCTGATTGGTAATGTTTTTATACTTATATAATGGATCAATAACATTGACTTCCATATATGATGTGCTTACATGAACATTCCTTTCTAATTTTTACCTGAATGCGGATTTATTTAAAAGTTATCATTATTGAAAAATGAAAAAAAAAAGAATTCAATGGCTTAATATTTATTAGCAGATAAATCTTAGTGTTTAGTCTACGTTACTACTGTACTTTCCGGCGTATAAGATGACTTTCGAAAGCGTTGAAATCGGCGCCGAAGTCGGGGGTCGTCTTATACGCTGAGTCATCTTATACACTGGAAATAACGGTAGTTTCCGGCGTATAAGACGACTTTCTAGGTATGCGACTCGGCACCGAAGTCGAGGGTCGTCTTATACGTCGGGTCGCCTTATACGCCGGAAAATATGGTACTTAAAATGCTATTTGGTTCAGAAATAAATTTTGAATTTTATATACTATATTGCTGGCAACAAAACCGATTATTAGAATTATAATAATTACAGAGTTTGACTTAAGTAAAAAATGTCATGTCTTGATATTTCTAGTGTTGCATATTTGAATAAGCTCTTATCTCTGTTGGCTGGTTAAAAGCAAGATTAAACTAACTGAAACTCTGTTATTTAATTATACTCTACCCCTAAAACTATTTTTTATAAAGTGGCTTTGTATGTAAGGGTACATAGTATATTTATTAGAATTTACAGACAGTATTTTATTGCATTTGTATATATTACCTTGGAAAAGTTACCCAAACTAAAAGAAAAAAAAAAGCTGAACAGCTTGGGGAAATTGGGTTAAGAGAATAGAAAGAATTAATATATACATTATAGGGAAAAGTGATTTATTTATTGTTTTGGTAGAATAATTTCATGGTATTTAAATAACAAAGAATATTGATAGATTTGTCTATTATTTTATTAAGACAATTGCAGGCTCTTGGTGTCTGTTTGCAGTAGAATTTAGTGATTTAACAAAAAGTACATTTCGAGTGCAGTTTTGGGGCTTCTGGGAGGCAATGGAAATACTGCACATTTCTCTCTCTGCAGATAGAGAAGAAACTGCTAAAATGGTGTTCTCTTAAATAGTGTAGAATAGTCCTCAGCTGAAGTTGCCTTGCCAGCCATGCTTTGCAGTTAGCAGTAACAAAAAAAAAGAAGAAGACGACATTGAGGAAAAGTCAAGGGTATCATTGGACAAGCTTTGGTTGGGCTCATAACATCATATTGAACTGTGATTTTTTTTAATAATAGTTTTCTCAAGAAACCAAAATTGACTTGGTTTATGTAACATGTTTTGCCAGGGTGAAGAATCCAAAATTGACTTGGTTTATGTAACATGTTAAGCCAGGGTGAAGAATCCAGTCCCTCGTTACCTAATTAGAGGATTGGCTAAAATTTTGGGAACCATTTTTTAAAAAATTTTTTGGGAGGGATTAAAGCTATCCTTAAAAAACTCTAAATTCCCTCTAATAGACCATTGTTTCCTTTTTGGCTGAATGAGCCTTGTCAATCATTGCTCTTGGTACTGGAAAAAATAAAGAACTTCTGAAGCTAGTGTTGTTATTATCCTCCCCATTAGATCTAATGAAAAACAAGATTAAAAGTAAATTTTTTGTTTAAAAAAAAATTCCCTATTTCCTCCCCTATATCTGTGTAGTTAGTGCTGAATACAACCTAAGAATAATTTGCACATGGATTATGCAGTATATTCAGGAAGGCAGTTGTTTAATTAGTTATTTCTACCCAAGAAGGCAAAAGCTGTTGCATGGCACTCCTAAATAGTTTGCAGAATCTCTTTTTAAGTAGCTTGGTGGAAGCAGCAGTAGATTATTGTTGGAAAAGCAAGGGCTTAATACCAAACAACTTCTAATGAATGGAAAATGCATTGGGGGGGTGGGGTGGGGTTAAGGAATATATCCAATTATGAAATGTCATTGTTTCATCCTAAAACTAAATTTTTCCATCTGAGTCACAGTTGGCTCATGGTACTTGTTCAGTGCAGATTTGGAAAAAGTTGGGGTGTTAAGCCATTCTTAATCAAATGAACTGCTCTGATCGATGCTGAGTTGCTGGCTATATTTTAATGAGATCCACACACACTTATGACTGTATAATAGTATTAGTGACAAGCTAATTATATTTGATCAGCAGGGCTAAGCTGATTTGAAATAAAAATATGCTGACTTCAAGAGAGTTCTGGATTTGGGCCAGAATTACAAAAAATGGGCAGGTAATTATTGTAGAACATGACCTGTATGTTGAATGAAATAATAGAAATAAGAGCATATGCAGCATAGGTTCTGAAAAAGATTTGTATGCCACTGATACAACAACCTGCCTACTAGCATGTTACTTTTTATATTTTAAGATAGCTATTTTTCTATTCAGACATGTAGATTTAGTCATGTCCTGCCCTTTAATAGCATTACATTGATTTGAAGCATCACATGATGGGGAATAGCTCAAAGCAATCTTTTATTTATGCTGTGAGAGATTTTGTGCATAGAAAGGCACAGTATAACAGATTTGCTTATTAGCTGTGGCTTTTTAAAGACATTTGCATTAAATATGTCTGAAAGTTACTATCTAGGATGGTGACTAGGCACTTTTCACAAAAGGTATTTTGATGATTTTATGATTTTCTTAATTTTTAAGCCAAATGAAAAGAATTTTCTATTGCTTTTCTGTATAAATGTAAAAAAGGAGAGACCTAAGTTATTTCTAAACTTGAAGATAGCTGTTTTATGATACAATAATATATTTTTCATATTGTTTAAATTGCACATGATATACACATGTCTTATTAATGTATTTTCCCTTCTCTTTAGTTTCAATTTTAAACTTAATGTACATGTAAAATGTCTCCAATAACTAGCCAAAAAAAGTCTAATAAAGATATGTTCTTTACAATTACTTTGAATTGTAGATCAACTGTATTTATTTTACTGAGAAGATGGCTGTTGAAAAATAACATACATCAGTAGATTTTTATCTGTGACAAATGATACAGTCCAAATATTGGGTGTCAGAACTTCAACCTTTCATTTTCTGTATGAACAGTGCCAAAGTGTCTCATTATGTACAGAAAAACATCATATACATTATATATACAGAATGCCATTAGATACAGAAAAACAAGATGGATTCCTTGTTCTGTTTTGTACAGCACCATCAGCCAACATGAATATTCTTGCTGGGCATCATGTGAGTTGCAGGACGAAAGATTAAGAAAGACTGATAAGATGTGTTGGATCAAACAAAACTTGTTTCTATTCATTTTTCTCAAGTTGATTTCAATTCCATCAGCCATAAAGCACGCCAATCTCTCCACATATTTCTGTGAAGCTAGTTCATATACAATTAAGTTCAGTCTAATTGTGAAGTATGAATGCATTTGATATGTACTAGTTGCACTGTTGTAAATTTTCTGGTATTGTGCATGTGTAAAGCATGCTTGCCATTATACCATTGACACAAGGAGACTGTTCCTCTTCTCTGTAATACCTTTAAACTTCTGAGACATACATGATAAAATAGTTCATTGGCTTAGATAATATGCTGGTGTAATTGCTAAATGGTTATTTTACATACAAAATGACCTTATACAAATACATCTGCTGGGAAATGCTCTTTTCAGTAGTGGAGAAAATCAACATCCACTGGAATTTTCCTTCTAGAGAAAGGTGACAGTGATTTTTCTTTTCTCCAGCATGACAAGTGGACAATCCACCAATGGGTTAGCTTTGTCTTCTGCCCAGATAGACTAAGTCGAGACTATCTGGGCAGAAGAAAAAGCTAACCCATTGGTGGATTCTCCATCGTCATGCTGAGAAAAGGTGTTCAGGTAAGACAACACCCCATTTCCTCTTCATCCTGTCTCAGTAACCCTCCTCATACACAATTCTGGAGAGTTATCTAATCAAAAATGTTTTTTGGAATATGGAGAACCACAGGTTGAAAATAAAGTGATCTAAATTCTCTCTGCCCTCACATTAGACCAGTGGTGGCGAACCTATGGCACACGTGCCAGAGGCGGCACGTGGAGCCCTCTCTATGGGCACGCGCCATCGCCCCAGCACACATCTCTAATTCGCTATCACTGGCCTAAAGCCAGCCAGCCTGGAGCCACCATTGGGGAGCCCACCATCCCACCCACTAGGACCTCCTGGATTTCCCCCAACCCTGCCTGGCTCCCACAGGTGTTCCTCCCCATAAGCAACATCAAGGTGGCCACGCCCACCCCAGCCACGCCCACCCAATCTGCCATGACTACTGCAGCCACACCCATCCAGTGGCCACGCCCACTCAGTCTGCCAAGCCCACTGTAGTTGCTCCTGCCGAGTGGGCCACACCCACCCGGCACCCGGCGATACATAAGTGGGTTTTGGTTTGCAGTTTGGGCACTCGGTCTCTAAAAGGTTTGCCATCACTGCATTAGATCAATGGAGTAACTCATGTGATTCCATTCTGTGCAGCTCTGGATCAGCCCCCTTTATAGTTGGACTGACTTTATCAAATGCTTTGAGGAGAGATGTAAATATTGGCTGAGAAAAATAAACCGTCTTTCTGGACTCATCTAAATTAAAAAGTATCATAGTGCTTATCTAATACCTAGTGGAATAGTTAACATAATACACATAACAAATGGGTTCATATTTCATGCTGGGCTACGTCAAATCATGGTCTCATTTGATGTCACAGCCCTGTTCACTTCTATAGATCCAGAATTAGCCAAAGAATCCATGACCACACTGCTTCACAATACACCTGACTTAATTGAATACACAAAGATCAAAACACCCAGGATTATGGATCTCATAAACCTCTGCTTAACGACATACTTCCAATCTGATGGCCAAATTTACCATCAAATCAAAGGGACACCTATGGTGTCCTGCTTTCAGCACTTATAGCAGAGGTCATCATGCACTTCCACAAATACTACTGAAAATATGGATCAAATATGAAGACGACACCTTCACCATAATAAAAAGGGATCAATTAGAGAACGCCCACAGAATCATCAATAACATTTTTAAAGGAATCCAGAAGAAGAAAACAACTTGTTACCCTTCCTCGACATCCTGATCAGCAGAGACCACAATGGCAAGTCTACAGAAAAACCACCCATACTAACCAGGTGCTCCACTACCAAAGCAACAACCCAACCTCCCACAACAGAAGCTGTGTGAGGACTTTATTTAAACAAGTCCAAACGCTGCAGCAGCCCAAAACAACAGAAAAAGGAAATGGAGCATCTATAGAACATATTCCAACGAAATGAGTACCCACGCAAGTTCATCAAAAAGTCCCTGACCACTCAACCCAATACAGCACAACCAACACAACCCTAAAAAGAATTACACTGCCATACATCAAGAACATCTCAGAAACTGCAAATAGACTACTACAACCCCATGGAATCAGCGTAGCACATAAACCAACCAAAGCCCCTCAAAACATCCTAAGTTAAACCCAAAGACCCAGCAACCCCAGAAGAAAAAAATATGAGTCATCTACAAAGGGCTTTTTTTCTCATAGAATGCCCAGAATGGAGTTCCGGCACCTTTTTTGGATGGAACCTTGTAGGGTAGGCAAGGTGGGTTGTATGACGTGTGAGTTCCAGCACTTTTTTTTTTTTTTAGGAAAAAAGCACTGCATCTACAACACACAATATAAGAACTACAACAGCCACTATGTAGGACAAGCAGGCAAAAGACTGGCAGAACGCATCCATGAACCTAAACTGGCAGTCAGAAGGCATGACAAAAATTCCTTGATTTCACAACATATAGACAGATTTAGCCATAGTTTCAATTGGGAAAGTGTGACAATCCTAGACCAGGCCAAATCCAAAAATTTGAGCCGAGGTGGCGCAGCGGTTAGAGTGCAGTACTGCAGGCCACTTTAGCTGACTGTGTTCAGCAGGTCAGCGGTTCAAATCTCACCGGCTCAAGGTTGACTCAGCCTTCCATCCTTCCGGGGTAGGTAAAATGAGGACCCAGATTGTTGGGGGCAATGTAAATATATATACATTGCTTACTGGTGTACACCGCTTAGAGAGTGCTTGCACTTAAAGTGGTATATAAGTCTCATAAATAAATAAAATAAATAAATAAATAAAAAGGGAATTTCTAGAAACCTGGCACTCTGACAAATCAGGCATCAATAGACACACAGACATTAACAACATTTATAGATTATGGAAACAATCAACCAGCCCAAAAGAGAAAAAGACTCCAGCACCTCTCCACCAGCAATCAGCACTCAGATCAGCATAGATTAACTCCAAGGTCACCTTCAGACCAACAGTCAGATAAGCAGTACCCCAATCAAGAAACTGACAAAGAGCCATTTACTAATGGCCCAACCAAAGAATCCCTAAGACTGCCCCCAACCATACAGACAGGCAAGAGACAGCAAACAGCATTCCTTACTACTGTAGCACTGATGATGTAACCTAGTTAGGATAATGAAACATCTGCAAGAAAACAAGCAAGTTCAGAGACCACCAAGCCCCCCCTTAAGTCAAACCATTGTGCATTAACCATAATATGTGACCTTGGACATTGTTCTCGTGCTCATTAGGAGACCAAAAATCTGTAAATTGCAGGGAAATGGGAGAAAATAAGGGAGTCCAGAGTTACAAAACCAAAATCATAGCCTAGCCAAAATTATACCAATGACTCAGAAAATACTCTTCCTGATTAAATTGCTTGTGCACTGCTTCATCCTTGTGGAATGCACTCCTAACCATTTTCAGGGATTACAGACACTCAGGAATTACAGACATTCCTCTACTTATGAACAGGTTATGTTCCGAGATGCTGTTCGTAGGTTTGTTTTGTTCGTAAGTCCAAATAAGCATTAAAATCACTCTTGTGCTGAATTCCAGATATTCACAGTTGCTGCAGTACACACCACATCCAGGCACTAAACAACTAAATAGCGAACAGTATGCAAGCGAAAGTCAGGAAAAAGTGGGAAAGGTGGCATGTTTCCCGACTTCTGGGATCTTCTATGTTGGCATTGCAGGCAGGTTTGTTCTTCTTGGTGATAAAAATTCATAACTTGAAAGTTTTTAAGTAGAATAATATCTGTAGACTTTTTAGAAACCTTCAAAGAATAGTTCGGCTGGTATTAATTTTTACTCATTTAAATGTTTTTAATGATTTTTTTTAGATTAAAATCTTTTTACATTAAAACATCGAACTGAAGTTTTAATACAAACTGCCCTGAACTGTTTAGGAAGAGCAGCTAAAAATTAAATATATATTTGACATATACATATTGTATTAAATACATATTTGACATAGCAGGTTTCTTAAATTAAGTTTCTCTATTGTTTAAATCAGTGGTCTCCAAATGTGGCTGAATCACAGATCCCAGGTCAAGCCAGCATTGCCAGTAGTGAAGTATGCTTGTAGCTGTTGTGTGGCCCAGTGAACACAAACCCAGTTTATCCTTGTCCATTTATTAAGAATGATGTACCAATAATTTTGAGAATAAAGGAAAAATTGATCCAAGTTACAGTTTGATCTCAGCATTCCCTATTAATTTTTAGAAGATTCTGATTTTTATTGAGCTATTTTATCTGAGAGATACAGGGAAATAATAGAGCAATTCTTGTTCAATAAGGTTTATAACTGGCATCCTTTCTTTATCTAGGGCAGGGGTAGGCAACCTTGGCTCTTTGATCTAGGGCTTTGATAGCTTCTGAATAATGAAGGAAATGGATAGTGTAAAGGATGGGTCTTTTCTTTTTTTTAAAAAAAATACATTACGCTTTAAATATTGTTTTCAATGAATTGACACATTGTATGTGAGAGCAATTTGTCCTTCACGTTTGATGCCTAATGTATCATCGTATGGCTTCAGAAGAGAGACTTAATGGTATGTCTGCCTCTTATGGT